CCTTCAATTTACATGCGGAACAACCTGCTCTCAGCGGCCGCGGGAAGCAACTCCGACTAAATTTTTTCACTTTACACTTGCTTCTAAAAATTTCCTTCTCTGCTTATCCTATTTCCCCACCCCACAAAACTCCATAACCACTATTCTTGCAAGACAAAATGCTGGGACTACGGGTATATGAGTGGGGCTACATAAGCAACTTTTGCCGAATCGGCTTCAGGGATGTCAAGGATAGCGGCAGCCCATTGGAGGAGGGCGGAAGCAGCGCCTTGCAAACCTCAGCCCAGTGCTTGTTCCATTGTCGCAAGGTGTGAACCGTTACGACGACCATGCGTTCGACGTCTGACTTGACAGTGTTGAGTCATATATTCAGCTGACTGCCATGTCGGTATTTTCAATTTTAACTACAAGAGGGATTCACGACCATTCTGCAGAGGTCCGTCGATGGCATGCGCAAGACATGCCCAAATCATGGGAATCGGCGATGCTGGATGTATGAGGCTAGACTTGGTAGTTGGAAATGCCTGCGATTAAGCTCAGTATGGGTAAGTCGATCCTGCCAGGAGGCTCTTAAGATGCGCCGAAGACACCTACAGTCGAAGACTGTTGGCCATGTTTCGCAGGCATATACTAACACTGGTCTGAGGGATGCTCTGCATATCAACAGCTAAGGACGTAAGCTAATGCCCGAGCGAGACCAGAGTGTTCTGGTTAGCAGCCTAAATGCATTTCGAGACTGCGCGATTTGGCTCCGGATATCTTCTTTGCCCTATCGCCGAAGTGACACGACTACGAAGAACTCAGCTTCTAGTGGGTCAACCAAACCTATCTAGATGAATTCTAGTGCAATTTCAGGAAATTATGATTTGGCAGTTCGTGATTCACCAATTCGTGATTATACCAATTTTATAGAAACATCTGAGTTAAACATTGATGCGCCTAATTCCATCGTCGTGGTGCAGTTGGGCGAACAGTGTGCTTTGGTTTCCTGTTACTATTGGTATTTAGAGTATGAAAACAATTTCAGTGTTTGTAAAGTAAAACTACTTGCCGCAGGTGTAAAAGACGCAGGGCTCTGGTACATCCAAAACAAAGACAGACATAAGAATGAGACCGAATTCGGCAAGTCCTGCTCGACGGTTTTGCTTGCCCAGGTTATTTTTTACTGGTTTCTGTCGGAGTTATTATCAGCCCAACACCTGTCCTATATGACGAAATAGCCAACACTGCCTGCTCCGCTTCAGGCGCGCACTGACACGGAGGCTATAAATGTGGAAGGAAGCAAGGCTATGTCCGGTAGTGCTATTGCTTCACAGCATGCTAGTACGTGGACGAGGAGAAGGCTGTTACTGCA